TTTTCGTGAGGCAGCCCCACTTCTTCAGATTTTTTGTTTTACCAAGATCAGACTAACACGGCTACCTCTCTGTGACTTTATTTGAAATGTATTGGAGTCTATCAAACATTGATTTAAAATGATCCATATATGCGTTTATTTGAATGTGTACTTGTTGAAATAATTATCCATTTATTTGCAGAGTGGAAACTCAAAAGAGCTGCTTATTCATCTTGTATATACAACTAGGGTGCCACATCCTGGAACATCTTAAAAAGATTATGCACAATACAGCGTCAGGAAATTTTGTTTTGATAAATCTGGTGAAGATATTAGTCTTCATGGTGTATACCAAACTGGAGTTTAAAGTTTTTAAAAAAGAGAAACTGTTTTGAATTATGAGAGCTGCTCATCCTTTTACTTTTTGTAAAAACTTTTTAAAAAGTCATTCTGTAATATTTCAGAAGTACCCAAATGACGTTTTAATCCAATTTAAGGGGAAAATATTGCTGGATTGAAAACCAGCATAAGAAAGTTCCACCAAAAAGGGTCCACTTTAGTTCCCATTTAAGTTAATGGAAAGAGAACTTCAATGGGAGTTGAATCAAGGCAAGAGTAATGTAGTTGGGAAGTTACAGTTACTTAAAAATAGACCCTTAGGCTATGTCTAGATTACATCACTCTTTGGAAAGAGGGATGTAAATTAGTCATATAGCAATTGCAGATGAAGTCGGGATTTGAAGTTCCTGTGCTTCATTTGCATAATCACATCACAGCGCTTTTTTTTTCGAAAAATGCTATTTTGAAAGTGAAACTGTGGCGTAGACGCAGTTCTTTAGAAAAGAAGAGCCTTTTTCAAAATCTTGTAAACCTCATTTTTTTGAGGAGTACAGGATCTTTCGAAAAAGGCTTGTCTTTTCAAAGAACCGTATCTAGACCGCGTTTTCACTTTCAAAATAGCGTTTTTCTAAAAAAGTGCCATGATGCAATTATGCAAATGAAGCGCGGGTAATTCAAATCCCGGCTTCATTTGCAATTTCGATATATCTAATTTATATCCCTCTTTCAAAAGACGGATGTAATTTAGACGTACTCTTAGGCTACATCTACACTACGAGTTTTCTTGGCAAAAAATATGCTAATGAGGGACTCATTTGCATGACTCACAATCTCATTTGCATATTTTCTGCTGATCCATTTTTGTACTAGGCAGAGAATATGCAAATGAGATTGCGAGTCATGCAAATGAGTCCCTCATTAGCATTTTTTTGCCGAGAAAACTCGTAGTGTAGACGTAACCTTAAAATAAAACAACTAGTATCTTGCTATGTGATTTATACCAAATGTATATTTGTTTTGTATTCAAGAGTGTTTTTACACTAGTGACTCAGGTGAAACTCACACTGAAGCCAAAGAAAATTTTGCTTCAATAAAGACTGTAGGATAAGACCCATAATGATCTATGTATTTAAAAGAATGTTATGTCTGTTCTTTATATAGATACTCAACACATGAGGACAGCTCATCTTTCAACAGTTACAATTAAGAATAATCCAACTCTGCTTTTTTATTTTTTGAACACCAGCAATGGGACTTATTTCTGCCCTATGTGTCTTTTTAAAATTTTATCAGATTTTATGCAGGTCCACTAAAGTCAGTGTAACACTTCCAGAGTTTCACCAGTATAAACTAGAGCAGAATTTGGCTCAGTGGGTTTCCGTATGAAATATAAGTGTAGGACACACTTTTTAAAAGAAAGCTAAAAGGACAACTTGAAAGGAAAAGAAGATGTGTACAGCTCAACAATAATTTACCTAATTAGCACATATCACTTTTCGTTTAAATAGTTTCCGGTGTGTTGTTTCACATTTCAGAAATAGAAAAGTAAAAGGAGTATTTTTAACTCATGTTTGTAATCTCCAGTTAAACTTAATTTATTTATAAACTAGCCAATCAGCCCATCGTAAAATGGGATTTTCAGGTCTCTCCTCCTTGTCAGTCTTCTCTCCTGAGCCTCTGGTCTCTTGCTCCATGTCTCTTTCTCTCTCTCTCCTCCTCCTACTGCCTCCCCCTCTCTCTCTCAGCTCTCCTCCGCCTTCTGCGTCTCTCTCCATATCTCTTTTTCTCTTCTCCCTCTCCTGTTTCTCACTCTCTCTCCGCTCTCATCTGTCTCCATCAGGGATGCATGCTCGTCCAAGCCCCATCCCCTGGTCGTGTACGTCACCGCCCCACCCCCCTTTGCCTCCCGCCGTGGTGCTCGGCTGACTTCTGCACCGCTCAGCTGGGCCGCCGTGGGGGAGCAAGCAGCCATTTGGGCTCCCCCGCAAAGGCCTGGCTGAGCGGCGCAGAAGTCAGCCGAGAGCCATGGCGTGAGGGGAAGGACATGACTCAGGCAACAGTGCCACCCAGAGGGAACAGCGCCACCCAGAGGGAACAACCAGCATTTCAGCAACAGTGCCACCCAGAGGGAACAGCGCCACCCAGAGGGAACAACCAGCATTTCAGCAACAGTGCCACCCAGAGGGAACAGCGCCACCCAGAGGGAACAACCAGCATTTCAGCAACAGTGCCACCCAGAGGGAACAGCGCCACCCAGAGGGAACAACCAGCATTTCAGGAACTGCGCCCCCCAGAGGGAACAGCCAGAATTTCAGACACTGGGTTACTATATTTATAAATGAAGGACATTATCAATATTGTCTATTACATTAATTCATATACATATTTCCTCTTTATCTGTCAGCCATTCAGTGGTTTGTTAACTCAGACCCCTCCAAATTTGCGAACACCTGCAAATTTTGTGGAGAGGTAGAGGGAGGCCCTAAACAAATAACTAACTTTAAAAATCCTGGGTTTGCTCTGTTGTTAGACCATCGTATTACATCTCTTAGGTCAGATAGTGAGAAATATAATGTAGCATAGTTTACTAAGAAACTGTTTTTTTCTGTCATAATAGTTTTAGGTTCATTACATGATGTAAGGACCTGATTGCAGTCTCACAGCACTGTAAGTTGGGAGTAACTCTTTTGAAACTCTGCAATCATGTAGGAGGCGAATCAGACCCTAAGGCTACATCTAGACTTGCATTAGTTTCCACAAATGCTTTTAACAGAAATGTTTTTCCGTTTTTGCCATTTTCGCGATCTGGGCTTTTTTGTGCAAAACAATACCGCGTTGTCTACACTGGCCCTCTTGCGCAAAAACATTTGCGCAAGATGGCTTTTGCCCGAACGGGAGCAGCATAGTATTTCCGCAAGAACACGGACAATCTTACATGAGATCGTCAGTGTTCTTGCAGAAATTCAAGTGGCCAGTGTAGACAGCTGGCAAATTTTTCTGCAAAAGCAAGTGCTTTTGCAGAAAAACTTGCCAGTCTAGACACAGCCTAAGGCTCTAGATGCAATATAAGGAGGAGAAACAGGTTAAAGAAAAAGCAACAAGATCTATTTTCTTTAGTCTCAGTCCCTAACAAGTGGCAGTATCCCTGTTACACATTAGGTGTTAAGAGGGAAATGCAAGGAAGAAGTTCTCTAGAGATCATCACCATCCTCCAATGTCCTTCTGGATTTTGGGTCTAGTTGACCTGTGGTGCCTCAAGAGCACCGGATTTCTACATTGTGGTGTTTTCTATTTCAGTATGTATTGGAGATTGAATGGCTGTTATGTTGCTCTTTCACTTTTCTCCACCAGCCAGCTATCTTTGCTTTGTATTGAAGGAAAGGCGGGTGTGGGCCTCCGTCTGTCCTCTCTGCCACTGTTGAAATAGCTGCAGTGAAGTCACTATTTGTTCTGATGTCAGGAGGTGATCAGTGATGCTTGAATCTGGGGCATGCCTTTGTGTAATGTCAGCTGGAATATATTGTTTGTCTGCAGCCCTAGGAGCCTGGGATCTCTGGTCTCATAAGCTAAGCAGGGTTGTATTTGCATAGGAGACTTCCAGAGGGCATCCAGGTGCTCTAGGAAATTATGTTGGTGAGTTAGGTGCCATTTCACCTTTGCATAATTACTGAGCCATGTCCTAGCTGGCTGATAGAGGCTGCTGTCTTGTTTAGAAATGTGGCCGCCATAAAACAGTTTTTTTCCCTTTTATGATTATTTCTTAATGGATTTGCTATTTAAATGGGCTACTGAATAATAAAACATTAATATTTCTGCACCACTTTGGAAACAAAGTGCTAAATTGTAGTAGTAGTGTGTTTTTTAGTGGAAATTTTATCAGGAAATTTTATAATTTTGTAGACACTAATAATAGCTTCTGGTACACAGGAGATATGAGTGTATTATTTTCTTCCTTTTACAGAAGAGAAACTGAAGCTTAGAGAGGTCAAGGGGATTGCCCATAGCCACACATTGAATCAGTGGCAGAGCCTGGAGTAAAATCCCAGTTTTCTGCCATCAAGTCATATGTTTCACTACTAGCAAGAAGGTTACAAATTCTGTTAGATTGAAAAGTTAATACTAATTGTTTTGCTTTCCCCTTATGTTAGTAATAATATGTCTGTATTTCTGTTACTTACACCCATGTATCTTCTTTATGTGCATGGGACTACATGGCTATAAACAAAGGCATGATTTCCCCTAATGTATTTAATTCTATATAATTTCAATTAAAATAGGACTGATTAGAGGCATCTGTACACGAGGTCAGATTCTGATCTGTTTCACCAGTGAAATCCAGAGAGTTGCTTTGCCTATGTGTATGGGTGGAATCCAGATATCTGCCCTGAAATTAGATACTTCAAATATTCTCAGCCTCTCTCTTAACTGCTTTACTCAACTATGTTGGATCATACCACTTAGGCAAGCAAATAGATGTTTCAGGAATGTGGTCACAGCAATGGACAATGATTATTTGAAATCTTAGCTGTCAGTTTCCTTGAGCTGAATGAGACCTGGACAAGGCAGAAACTTTTTGAGGCAAAGGCTTAAGGTCTTGTTGATGTAAGATGAATGAAGATGTGGTCCACATTTTGGTTATCCCTGTTTCATGCTAAATCTGAGAGTTGAATTATTTCCCACAGCTGTTGCTTTCTTGGCTTTCTGAATTGCAGAAAAGGCCTGAAGAACAATCCAGAACTCAGGAATTGGTGAGTTTGCTTCTGCTTCATAACATCTCTGCATCACCCATCCTCCCCTGCCACCCCCCAAAAAAAAGTTTATTTGAGCTCTTGTAATGATTCTGTCTGGGAGAGGAGCCAAGGTGTCGAAGTATCAAAGTGAAATTCAGAAGAGTCAAGAGCAAGCAGAGACTTGAAGGGGAAGAAGGGAAGTAGAAAAAACTCTTTTCTTTATTATGGTAATAGTAATGAAGCTGAGCAAAAAAAGCCCAGACAAAGGGCTAGGTTACTGTACTATAAACTACTTCCTGCCACTGAAATTCACATGTCACCTTTACTTGGCTGATTAGAGAACTACAAAGGCAGGCAAGCTGGTTTTGACTTTCCATTAGAAGCTTGCCAATACTTAACATTTCTGACATTCAGGGCTGCCCTGTAGACCTAGTTTTTGTTTCTAAAAAGTGAAATGTGGACTCAAAACAAATGATCTGCTCTGTGGGGCTTATTGATTAGAAATGATGAATGATGGGTAACATATTGGGCTTGACACTGCAAGGTAATGTACACCCTTAACATTTTAATTGACTGGTGAGAGTTGAGGCCATTCATGCTAGTCATGCAGTTAAATATGGGATATATGCCAAAATTTATCTTGCTCCTCTCCATTGTCTGTAGGTTGGCCCTTTGCATAGTGGTGTGCCACAAGTGTGTGGGATTCTGTGACACATGCAAGGTGGTCACTGAAAAATTATTTCACAAGCCAGCTACCCGCTCCCAAAATGGCAAGGCCAATTCTGTACCTTCCACTAAACTTGCTTTTAAATCCAGTATCTCTGTCCATTCAGTTCACTTCCTGGATCCAGTCTTTCAGGAACACAATCAGACTTTCTAATCAATTAGGCAAGTTTACAGCAGGATTATGCTATTTGCCATTCATGTCAATAAACACTTGGTTACAGTGACTCTCTCACCACAAAAGCTTTTAAAAGGAAACAAACCACCTATCTGTCCATATGGCTTTAAAAGCAAAACTGTAATACAAGGAAAGGAAATGTCATAAAGAAGCACCCTTTTCACAACCATACTAGTTAGAATAATTTAGTGAGCAAAATATGGAAGAAGTTTTGGCAACTTTTTTACCATAGTAATTTTCCTTTGGGTGAAGGAATTTAATATTTTAAAAATTATTTCATTAGATGAATATTGATGTATTTGTTCTCTCTAATTTTTATGCACATGAGTAGCCCTATTGAAATCAAGTACAATCACACACGTTTTAGTCTTTGCAGGATATGGACTTTTATAAATAATTATGTAAATTGCACCATAACTGTACATAATGCTTTACAGAACAAATAAAGAGTGTCTGCCACAAGTGATTTAAAATCAACAGTTAGAGGGATGTATGATTTCACTCTGGTATACTTCATGGCACACACATACACACGTGTGCTCTAAAAGGCTACGACCCTGAATGAACTCCACGTAGGGAGATTATTGAGCAGGATTGAGAACATACTATATTAAGACCATTTTTCTTCAATTTTAAAAAACATACACTAGCCATTTGATATTTACAACTGATCCTCGTGTATAAGTTGTACATAGATTCATTTGCTATTCTGAGACTGTTTTCAAAATAACTTTTAGTCCAGTCTCTTACATACAAGGGCTATGGAATGGGTGTAGAGTACAAGTAAAGAGAACAACTTTATAAGGATATTTGAGCAGTTCCTTGAGCATATCATTTCATTCATGTAAACCTATTGATATTATGAGAATTACAGAGTAAGTAGAATGTGAAAGGCACTGTGCAGTGGGCCACTTAGTTGTCATTGATTAAAAATTGATCGTACCTGTAGGGGCTGATGGAAAGCCAATTGAAGAGAGACTCTGATTCACGTAATAGGCTTTGGATTAGGCTTTTAAGTAGCTCAAAGTTCCTGAAACTAAACAATTTGTATTAAAAATAAAACTTCTCTACTTTTATTGCTTTAAGGAAACGTTCAGTCCCTGGGTGTTGAGAATAGTTCAGTTTACAAGGCGGCCAAACTTCTGAATTAATTTGAAGAATGAGCCAAAGCAGATCCATGCAATGATAAAATATGATTACAGTGAAAAATTGTTGTCCACATGTAGTTATTAATGTAGGAAAGCATTTGTATGTTATGCAAACTCAAAGAAGCATACTAACAAAGAGACTTCTAGCTAACCAGATCAGCCACAAAGTTACAGAAATGGACTTTATCAAAATAAAAGGAAGGCGCTGACTGTTGAATATAAGCTGTTTCAGTGCACTAAACCGCCAGTTTAGGGAAAGCTAAATGCAACTGGAACTGTGTGGCAGGTGATTGTGAATATTAAAAGTATCAGTGATTTTAAAATGCATATTGTAGGAAAATGTGTTTCTTTGACAAAAATTGAACTAAATTAAAAATTAAACTTTAGTGAGCTCATCCTGATCTGACTCATGAGGTGTAATCTGACTTGAGTATTATTTTGGGTTTATGTCATTGTAATAAATTAAGCTGTTTCAGGATTGTTAACAGGACCAACTGAGTTCAAAACTCAAAACCTTTTTCAAATGAAGCAAGTGCACTTCAGGAGGTAATAGTACGACCACGTAGAAGTAATCATTGTTTTTCATTATTTATGAATGTAAAAGTTGCTTTGAGTTTTCAGTCTTCTGCTCAATGGATTTGCACTTTAAGTTGCGACATGCTATTTTTTATTTACAGAACAAACTTTGTAAAAGGACTAAGAAGAATTTCCACTATGAACGCCATCTGATTTACTTGCATCATATGTATCATGTTGGCCTTCTTAATATGACATCATCCAAGAGGTCAGTTAATTTCATGAACACACTGTATGAAGATGTTTATGTAAGTTAAGCAGAGACATTTCTACAGCCTGTATTTTTCTGAGGCCTACAAAAGCAGCTGCTGCCTAATTGTGTAGTTACCTAAAGTCCTTAGATGCCTAAGTTTCTACTGTTAAAGGCCCTGAATGTAGAGAAGGTATTTTGTTTTTTTCCTGAAAAAGACCTACCCCTTGTGAAAGTTTCAAATTATTTGTGGCATATCAGCAGAGATTCCAGGGAGAAGCCATTACCAAAGAGAGGTGCTCAGTCTGCATTACAGCATGTATAGAACCTTGCTATATTTTAGCTAGGAAAGCAGTACTCCCTGGTTTAAAGTAGGGATGTTAAATATCAGTTAATTGAATAATCAAGTAACCTCATGAAATGTTATCAGTTAGTCGACTATTCTATAGTCCCTGGGGGCAGGGCCAGCAGCCATTGTATCAGAGGCATCAGCACAGGATGCCAGGCAGGAGCTGGTCTGCGAGGGGAGCTGGTTTAAAAACCAAATCCTGGAGGTTTTTAAACCCAATCCTCCAATTTGTCTAAGTCACTCTGGACCCTATCTCTGCCCTCAAGCGTATCTACCTCTCCCCCTAGCTTAGTGTCATCTGCAAACTTGCTGAGGGTACAATCCATCCCCTCATCCAGGTCATTAATAAAGACATTGAACAAAACCGGTCCTAGATCTGAACCTTGGGGCATTCCGCTAGAAACCGACCGCCATCCTGACATAGAGCCGTTGATCACTACCCGTTGGGCCCGACTTTCTAGCCATCTTTCTATCCATCTTACTGTGCATTTATCCAATCCTCATTCCCTTAGCTTGCTGGCAAGAATATTGTGGGAGACCGTATCAAAAGCCTTGCTAAAGTCAAGGTTTATCACATCTACCGACTTTCCCATGTCCACAGAGCCAGTTACCTCATCATAGAAGCTAATCAGATTGGTCAGGCACGACTTGCCCTTTGTGAATCAATGCTGACTATTCCTAATCACTTTCCTCTCATCCAAGTGCCTCAATATGGATTCCTTAAGGATCCCTTCCATGATTTTTCCAGGAACCGAGGTAAGACTGACCGGCCTATAGTTCCCTGGATCGTCCTTCTTCCCTTTTTTGAAGATGGGCACTACATTTGCCTTTTTCCAATCATCCGGGATTTCTCCCGATCTCCACGACTTTTCAAAGATAATGGCCAAAGTCTCCTCAATGACATTTGCCAACTCCCTCAGTACCCTCGGATGCATTAAGTCTGGACCCATGGATTTGTGTACGTTTAGTTTTTCTAAATAGTTCCTAACCTGTTCTTTACCCACCAAGGGCTGTCCATCTTCATCCCATCTTGCGTCACTTAGCACATTAGTCTGGGAGCCCACCTTGTCCGTGAATACAGAGGCAAAGAAAGCATTGAGTACTTCAGCTTTCCCCACATCATCTGTCACTAGGTTACCTCCTTCATCCAGTAGGGGCCGCACACCCTCTCTGATCACCTTCTTCTTCTTAACATACCTGTAGAAACCTTTCTTGTTATCCTTCACATCCTTAGCCAGTCACAATTCCATTTGCACTTTTGCCTTCCTGATAACCCCCCAGTGTTCTTGAGCTATACATTTAAATCCTTCCCTGGTCATTTGTCCAAGTTTCTACTTTTTGTAAGCTTCCTTTTTGTGCTTAAGTTCACCAAGGATTTCCCCTGTAAGCCAATCCGGTCTCCTACCATGTTTGCCTCTCTTGCTATGCGTCAGGATGGTTACTTTCTGTGCCTTCAATAAGCTTTGACAGCTAATAAGCTTTCTTACAGTAAAGAATGCATTTACTGTAATTCTAAAGACTCCATTATTACAGCACGGCTCCTTGAATTTAGCATTGTGTGTCAATGACCCGTTTGGGAGAGCAATGCTTCAGTTAATATTTAGTTAAGAACTCCTTGTCTGCTATCCATCTGGTGAGGCACTTGCTCATATCCCAGAAGTGGGAATGCACAGAGGGCCTCAGAGAAAGAAGAGGTACTTACCAGTAACTGTCATTCTTCAAGAGTCACCTCCGTGTACTCACACTACCCCTCTATCCCAGTGGGGGACTCTATAGTTAAGGAGAAGGAACTGAGGTGGTTGCAATCCTTCAGTCAAAGTAGGGCAGTGATATCTTTTTTCTCACAAGGTCTTTTGTGCACCCTCCCAGCAGACATAGGTTTGCAAGGTGATTCTACTGCTCACTGCCATAACTGTAGGTGGAAATGGACAGAGGTGACACTCAAAGAACATTATTTAGGCATTATCATTAGAGTTGCGGAGGTTTTTTTCAGAGAATGGTAAATTTGCCAAATCTTTTCACTAATTCACGGCATATTCAGTAAGTGGTTAGAGTTGAATTTAAAAAAGGGAAAAATTTAATGGAGTCAAAATGGTTCATTTCAAAATGAAGGTTCATTTCCAGTTAAATCTATCTGAATCTTCATTTTTTCCATTTTTTCATTTTGGTGAGAAAAACAAAATAATTCCGTTTTTATTTGAAGGCCACCTATCTGAAAAATTAAATATTTGCTCGGCTCTAGTTATGATAACATCTGCTGTGTATTTAAAGAGTGATGATCCTTACTGCTGTCGTCTTAATTTGCTTTTCTCTGTTTGGTGCTACCTGGAACAGACTGCTGGAGAAAAACGGCCAGTTTGCAGTTGCTGAAAACGAGCACAATGTTCATGATCTGGTAAGTAGTTAAATGGTCATTGCTATCATTTATACCTTCTGTTTTTGAATAAATAGTTAATGAAGGCAAAGTAACAGCTAAAGCACATTTCTTGTCAGTTGCTACAAATGCTGCAAGTCTAGAAAAGGGTATTTTATGTTAAAGCATTACAGTCTGCTTTTCAGTCCAAACTGCCTATCACAGAGATGAGTAATAGGTCAGTGGATTTGTGCACTGGCTTTTCACTGTACAAAATCACAACACAATTTGTTAAATTGATAGTCTCTGGAGAGGCCCAAGATAGAAATATTAGGGATCAGGTCGGAGGGTCATTGATAAAACTATGTAGGGAAGTTTGCACAATTCCTATTATGCCTGATTCAGTCCAGATTATTAGCTTCCTACTTACATAACTACTTAAATAAACTTAAAACAAATCCCTAGGTGAAATATTGACTTCATCTCATCAACTTTAGTGGGGCCACAATTTCTCCTCCCCCATTTTCAATCTTCTGCTGTGTTACATGTTAGCTATAAGCAGAAGAATGGAGTAAGCCATGTCAGGGAAGTTGGCTAAACCTAAGCTTGGCAGAATATGATTTTTTAAGCAATTTTTTTATAATTATGTTAGGTCCCCTAATTGTATCTATTTCAGCTTTTAAAAAATATTCCTTTTAAGTTTTCAGAGTTGCAGGAAATTACCCGGTGGTCAGATAATGAGGGCAATCAGACCATGATTATTTAGTGACTGACAATACAAACTGTCCATCACACGTCAAAATATACAGAGTAAATATTCTTAAATGAAATTTTTAATAAGTTCTCAAGTAGAATTTTTCTTATTTTGCCCATCTGTACATTTTTATTATTACCAATGGAAATAGTTTCTTGTGTCTGGGACTGTGTATGGTAAAATGTATGTTTACTGACATTTACTGATAAAAATCTAATTCTTCTAAGTCTAGTTATACAACTTTAAAAAGGTGTATTGCAAACATGACCTGTCTCACCATATATGTGAGACATAACATAAGAGAATATGAGCAGTGATGCAGAAAAATATAAACATATTGTAAAATAAAGATTGCATTATTGCCCCAAGCTTATATTTGTTGGAAGTATACTTTGCACACAGAATATGTTAAAAATGTTGCATAAAACTGTAAAATGGTTTTCACTAAAGCATTTTTGGGGTTCTTGAGCATTACTTGCATAGATTACTACTACTACTACTACTACTATTATTCTTTTCTTATAGGTTAAACAGAGAAGTAGGACCCATCTTTCTAGATCTAGATGTTTTAGAATTAGCACCTAAAATCCATATTTAAGCTCTGACACTGCAAATATACATGAATGTTTGTTAACAGGCTCTGTGTTTTAACTAGCTACATAAGTTTTTTTTCAGTGGAACTGTGTGTATTGGGCACCTTTGAAAATCAAGTCACTTGTTTAACTGCCTAAATATGGGTCTTGGGTTCTAACTGTAAACACTGCCATCTTAAACTGTTGGAATTTACTTTTATGCCTCTTATTGTGTGAAAATTCTTCTATCTTCTTCCTACACCTGCCATTTTTTTATATCAAGCTCTTTAGTCATCAGTGAAGCCCACTTACAGTGAAGTTGTTTATATGTTTTATAGAAAACCTTTACTCTTGGCAGAGGTTCAGTGTAACTAGAACTGCAGTTTGCACATTGAAACAATGGCATAGAAACAATTAGGAATTTCAATTCTACTTCACTATAAATGAAAGTTTTCGCTGTATCTTAGTTCACCGTAAGCACATTCCTCTGCCTGGTCTTTGTGTCTGAAACTATGATGAGTCAAATAATGAGAAGTTATTTGCCAATAAATAATGTTAACAATTACTGGGGGAAATACATAGAATAAATCACATAGAAATTATTATTCAGTTACCTTTAGAACTGCTCAAATAATGACAATGTATTGGTGAATAATCTATTTAAATAGATGCGTTAGAATTCATTGGACGAATTGATTAGAACAGGCAGGTGCATGAGGACAGACAACAGGATGGATTTTAAGCAGCGGGTCACAACTTTACTAAACCTAGTATCCCTGCTCAGTGTTATCTGCTCTGTCTCCCTGTATCAGACTTTGAAAGGGGACCCAATGTAGGATTTGCAATGCTCCTATGATATAGCCCCTAACACAGGCTAGACTCTGCCTACCCCTAGAATTCAGCTTGTTCTGCTGAATCCTCTCACCTTCCTCTCCCTCTTTGTGATCAGGATAGAAGTACAGTACTAATGAGGGACCTGCATGTGTGAAGACTTCAGATCTCCCTTTTCCCCATAGGTCTGAGGTCTACAAGTGAAATTCCAGGGCTCTTATTTCTGGCTGCTGGCCCTTGTGGCCTTTTTATTTGCATTGGACTCCAGCTACAAGTTGAAATTAACTAAGCAGTCATGCAATTCCTAATGTGAAGTCCTATTCCTATTTAATCTGTATTTCCATAAGGTTACATGGAAGCCAAAAAAAAATCCCAAACAAACAAACAAAACCCCACACCTTCATATACCTCGACCCTGATGGGACAAATTCCTTGGTCACCCAGGTGATTGCTCAGACCAACGGTATCCTAAACACACAGCTCCTATACAACTGGGAAGAGAGAGGGTGAGTTCAGCTAAAATGGGGCACCAGGCTCAAGAAACTGGACACAGGTTTAATGAATGTGGAGAGTAAGGAGACAATTGGCTAATGGGCATGGGAGCAACCAGAGGGAGGAGGAGTCTACACTGTAAAGATACCCATCAATCAGAACTCTCCAACCCTTGGGAGTTCCCACTGTAACATTGTAGTTATGTTTTATGGCTAAAATAATGCAAAAGCTCTTTAAGGCAGTCATACTTATTTGTTCTCTGGTTCCAGTCCTGGCTTCATTGAAGTCAAAATTCAAGTCAATTCAATGGAAATGTCAGGTAGGCCCTGGGTTCATTAAATGTCACAAAAAGGTGGGCTTAGATATTTTTTCCACTAATATAAGCTATAGAAAAATATGAAAGCTGAAGGGAGACTTTGAAGGACTAAGCCAATCTAACTCTGCTAAAAATCATCTCTTGAATTCCCATTTGATGTGAGGGAGATTCAGCATAAATAAGAAACATTACTTCAAGTTGCAAGGAAATAAGCAATGCATACATAAGGTTCTCTTCTGTTCTAAATGACTGGAAATCCTATTTATTAAAAAATACCAAAAAGCAACACAGTCCACAAAGGACATTATGTGACACTGAATAATGGTCTTTCTTATTACACTGGTTTCAGATATTTATGATGCTGGATTGAAAAAGAAATTTAATTAACTTTTCTTTCAACGGTGCCTCTTGCATGGTTCACTGAGTGATATCATGGGCTGGATTTATAGGCAGTTCAGCTGGATATCAGGTCTGAGAATGACCCTACTTGCATGACTCCAGCTAAATTAGCCATTGCAGAACTCAGAGAGCTTCGCCTTAAGCTAGATTCTAAAACGGGTATTAATCTCAAGAGGATCATATAGTTGTCTAGTAACTAACAAATGTTGTGAATTATAAGTTTGAGATGGAATGGAACATAGCATGCTGCCAGCCCATTTTTAAGAGAAGAGTTTGCAGTGTTCTGCTTTGAAACCGCAGGACTACTTTGTGTAACCTACACTTGTGCTTTTGTTATCCCAAGATGAAATACTTGTTTCCAAGTCATCGTAAACAACCTGAAAATAGCTCCACTGAAAGAGGGACAGAGGAAAGTACATTTCCCATTTTGCTGGATAGGAAACAGCAGGAGCAATGTCACAGGGGCTTCTCTAAAACATGCTTAGTTTATAAAGAAATGAAAAACAATTCAAAGGAGAAACAATATGAAAATGAAGGCGCTGTTGAAAGGTGAGTATGCTCGGTTTAAATGACTTGCCTGAATCAGTGCATTATGTTTATGCTCTTTCATTTTGACTGGAAATAGAAAGATGTTATGGAATAAGGGGCCCATTCCCTTCTTCCTTTTGTAAATTTGACTTGAAACATTGTGGCTTTTAGAGCGATCACACATTAAAATACATGTAGGTGTGAACTTTCAGATATCCTCACCAGTGAATATTCAGAGCATCACACCCTAGTGCTTGCTTCTGAAGTTAACATTTAACCTGCTGTGCAAACTCAGGATACATGATTTTCATAATATTGTTATTTTGAAACTAGATCTTTTCAAGCAAAGCACATACTCCTCATCCAGGATTATGTACTATGCATGCAAAGCTGGAAATTTTAAAATCACGCTGATTGAGTTTATCTAACTGTAGGAGTGCTTGTAAATATTTCTTACTAGCCAGCTGTTCTCATGTGCAAATAAAATCCATGCTTTCTCTTCTGGAGTTAAAATGTACCCAAAAGTTAGAGCGGGAGGGAAAAAAAATTAAGGCTTCTCTTCCCAAAAGGAGATGTTTAGAGAAAAATTAAAAGCAAAACCATGAATTTTAGAACAGAAAATCTCTCGACCATTATTATCTTGCTATCATAACAATATAATCTTGCTTAGGAATTATTTAGATTGGTTCTTTCTAGTAAGTTTTTCTAAAGATATTTTGGCTGTGTCTTACAGTTTGGGGGATCAGAAATGCAGAAACAATGCCTTTGTACCACGTAAAATGATCACTCTGCCTCTTTCCATGGAAGATGTAGTTCTGAACAATCCAGTTGTGGTAGGTATCTTTATTTGCTCTTTTGTGCTCTATCACACTATATATATCCTGAAGAAGTTGTCATAAACTTTTAACCCATAGCTTAAATTTTATAGTATTCACAGAGCAGTGCTATTATAACAAATTTTATCCTCCAAAGCACTCAGTGGGCTCCCATTGAAATCAGACCTGCCACAACAGAAACACCATTTGGGTTTGGCAAATTTCCTGGTATTCACCATCAGCACAGTTTCTCCACCTTTTTAGAGGTTCCTAGTAATACCACGGCTACTAATCTTTTTGCTGGCCTGTAGCCTTCAGGGTGAGTGGGACTATCCTGGGGCAATGAAAGCTGGATTTATCAGGGCAGCAGAAGGAAGTTGTAGGAGCCAGGCAACACAGAGTATTACGGATGAGGGGCCTGTTAGGGATGAGGGGAAAAGGATGTTGGGGAACTGCAGGAGATTACAGCTGCAGAAGGCAAGTAGACTCCTCACAGGATGGACCTGTTGTAGATCACTGGAGAATTATGCCGCTCTGAGTCAGGGAATGATTAGAGCTGCTGTCCTGTTGGAAAGCCTAAAAGGGGTTACTCTTACCCAAACCAGCTAGCCAGAGTACCAGGCTGTAGCACTCATAGATACTGGTGCAGAGCAGTGGTGTCCCACCCCTGCCAAGCTGTCGATCCAGGGAAGAAGAAAGAAAAGTGCAAGTGCTCTGCTTTTATACTTCTCCTACATTCTCTAGGTGGTTATCTCCCCAACATTTGTAGTTTCCCATGTCCCTACCCACACATTCTTTCCCTCCTGCCCCACCACACACTCCTGATCTCTAACACTGTGTGGTAGATGAAATATGGGCATTGTCCAGCAGCTTTCTTTGGCAAAACTATTTGATTGTAACAAATTATTGCAGTAATTTTAGTATTTCACATTCCTGTACTTAACCTGTATCAGATTAAAACTGAGTTCCTGTTTGAAATGAGAAATTTTAAGGTTCAAGACCAGAAATGTGAGGAAATCCACAAGAGTTTGAAGAGGGAATATTTCAATAGGTTTCATGCTATTAAATCTTGTGCCAAAAAAAGGAATGGAAAACTAAATTGTACAATGAATAACTATCATGCCAACTTTGGAGACTATATAATCAGTCTTTAAACTATGAAAGAGGGATTTTTCATTTTTATATGCAAATCTCAAAGCAAGTCTCTACCAGTTCAGTCACAGTGAGCCCAGTTTGTACAAAGGGAATCTCTCTTCCCCGGCAACTGACTTCAGTATCCATCTCTACCAACCATTAGAATGAGGAGATGGGTATCTATGGGCATCTTTCACATTAAAGAAAATTCTACAGCTTTAGTGCTGACACTCCCATTTAAAACAAAAGCAAAAACCAACCGTGTCATAAGAACATAAGAATGGCCGTACTGGGTCAGACCAAAGGTCCATCTAGCCCAGTAGCCTGTCTGCTGACAGGGGCCAACAATAGGTACCCTGTAGGGGATGGACCGAAGACAATGACCAAGCCATTTGTCTCGTGCCATCCCTCTCCAGCCTTCCACAAACAGAAGCCAGGGACACCATTTCTACCCTCTGGCTAATACCTCTCCATGGACCCAACCTCCATGAATTTATCTAACTTCTCTTTAAACTCTGTTCCAGTTCTAGCCTTCACAGCCTCCTGCAGCAAGGAGTTCCACAGGTTGACTAT